CGCCGATCCGGATCGCCGATTCGCCGATCCGGATCGCCGATTCGCAGATCCGGATCGCCGATTCGCCGATCCGGATCGGTTTTTTAAAAGCTCGATGCGGGTCACCGATCCGGTTTTTAAACCATTGCTCACTAATGAATAATATCAATATGAGTATCGTTAGTGTTGTGATGTTTATCATAACATTGTTAGTGTCGTAATACCACTAATTTAATAGTGAGGATCACAATACTAATAGTATAATGAATATCAACAGTACTAATAGTGCCTTGATAAAGATCGGCACCTGGTTGGACCATCACGGTCCTATTAGAACCATGATGGTCATTTTGGAGTCGGCATCAAAGGGCTCTCGGAGCATCATGGACGGCATTTTAAAAATATATATATAAATCATCAAGTGAATTGATATAAACGTAGATTTTAAAAAATTTTGGTAATATTTTATTTTTTTCAAAAAACAAGGGGTACTTTTTATAATTACCTAAATAAATTTATGTAAGCTTTCAACCTTATTCAGACACACCTCAAAAATCCATCAGAAAAGTTGTTTTGATGTTGGGAGACTCTCGATTTGATTATCTCAACCTCAAGATGCATGAATATAAGAAATAAAAAATAAAAATCATAAAAATAATATATTTTGTAACGCATTATCTAACCTGTGAATTTTCAAAAATTTAAAGTCTTTTCATGCCTACTCCATATGTCGCTTTGAATTTCATAATTAGGGGGAAAGGTAAATTTTTATAAAATCTATTACGGCAGATGGACATCTGAATGGCGTAGTTAGCATATAAGGTGAGGAAAAGTATATAATAAGACCACTTGCTTAAATTTGGGTGGTTGTGTTTCTTCCTTTGATGAAGCATATAGTTTGAAAAGAAAATTTTTCGAATTTTGTAGTCCACCGTTAAATTTGATTTACGATGGATGTGGTAATTGTGTCCTCCTTGTATCATGAGTTGGAGGTGTAGTCCACGCTAATGATTGAAATATTATGTCATTTATATATGAAAAAAGTTAATATAAAGCCAAGGCTCTAAACAATCAAATTAGAGCTCACTTCAAAAATTTTACTAGAAGAGGTTGTTTTGATGCCTAAATATCCTCAAATTGATCATCTCAACATCAAGATGCATGGACATGAGAAAAAAATGGATTTCAAGTTTTGGAAATAGTGCATCTTGTAATGCATTTTTAGACCGTCAATTTTCATGATTTTCAACTTTTCATATATATGCTCGATCATCACTACTTTTGAAGCTTTAAATTTTGTAATTAAAGATAAAAATATATTTTAAGACTATCACAAAGATTTTCAGCATTGAAACCATATTTTTTTGACACTTTTTTAAAGTGGGTTTTACTTTGATTGTTTAGAGCCTCAGCTCTATACAAACCTCACCCCAGTAACAAATGCAACTTCTTTTTCTTTAAAGGGACAAGTTTATTTAGAGCCAAGGCTCTAAACAATCAAATTAGGGCCCACCTCAAAAATTTCATTAGAAGATGTTGTTTTGATGCCTAAATATCCTCAAATTGATCATCTCGACATCATGATGTATGGGGACATGAGAAAAAAAATGGATTTTAAGTGTTGGAAATAGTGCATCTTGTAATGCATTTTTGGATCGTCAATTTTCAAGATTTTCAAGTTTTCATATATCTACTCTATCTACATTGTTTTTTAAGCTTTAAATTTTATAATTAGATATGAAAATATATTTTAAGGCTATCACAAAGATTTATAGTATTGAAATGACATTTCTCGATACTATTTGAAGGTGGCCTCTATTTTGATTGTTTAGAGCCTCGGCTCTATACAAACCTATGCCTTTAGAATGCGGCTAGCCTACATATTGTAGAAATGCTAGCTTGGCAATAATTATATTTTTTAAATATAATTTGATCCTAATATTTAGAGAATATATAACATTTAACATTGAGATCATGAATATGAAAAAAAATAAAATAGAAATAATAATCATAAGAAAAAAGCATTTGAACAATTAGTTACGATTGTTTTTAGATTGGCCACCTATTTGCATCCATCTTTAAGATTGATGTTTTATATGTCTCGACCGCATATTGTAGAAATGCGGTCTAGTCCATATGAAACAATTATTCTTCTTTAAAACATGGGGTAGTGGAGGAGATTGAATATCCAAAGATACAAAATATTTTATATTTAACTCATGGTTTATTTATTTTATAAAGTATTCGATATTATTCTTAAAATAGTTATTTAAAATACTTCTTTGATATTTTCCAAAAATTTAAAATATAAATTTTATGTGAATTAGATTAACCTTCTAGTTTAAAAAAAAGGTGAACCGGATCGGAACTGGATGATCTGAATTAGGAATCTATCAAACGGATCTAAATCCCATATTTTATGGGGAACTGGCCTATTACCTCTATGACCGAGGTCAGAACCAACCCCAATTTTATTTTTAAAATTGGTGCCACCAGGCCATGTAAGAACCGGTCACAATTTTATTTTTAAAAATTAGTGTCACAAAGCCTTACGATGACATGAATATCTATTGTTGTCTCCAATTATAAAATTTAGAGTTCCAAAAAATGGTGATAATCAAGCATGTCAATTTAGAGTTCCAAAAAATGGTGATAATCAAGCAGATCAGCAAATTAGTGCCGCAAAACCTTGCGATGATATGAAAATCTATTATTGTCCCCAATTATAAAATTTAGAGTTCTAAAAAATGGTGATGATCAAGGAGATCAGATATACAAACACTTAAAACTTTTGAAAATAAACTATGCAGTCTAGGCCTCCATTCAAAAACCACTACAAATAATTTCAAAAACGGGCAGTCAGGCAATAAATTATTTATATGGCTAGAAATTTCCCTATTTTCGTGTATATAAATCTCAGGAGTCGAGATAATCGATTGGAGGTTTTAGCTGTACCTTTTACACCTTATGAACTTTTTTCAAATAATAAATGGTTAGCGTGATGGTGGTCTCACTCTCAAAACCTCCCGAGTCCCTAATCTCTCTCACCCCCTGTCCTCTCCCTTAACTCTGCTCTTCTCTTCGTGCTCTCTCTCAAACGAGAACCACTTTCAAAGTCTCCTTATCTTCAACATCCTTCATCTTCTTCAACACGGTAAGTTTTTTCTTTTACTTTTTGTTGCTTTTCCTTTTATTTTATTTTTTGCTGGTTTTTCTTTTATTTTTTTGTTGGAGATAAATCATTCTATATGATGCTGTTGATGACTCCATGAGATTGATGGTGTGCTCTATTTCTCTGCATCTAATGGCAAAAACAATATTTCTTCTAACTTTTATATGTGGGTTTGCCTACTTTTAGTAAATAGAATGGGCATTATAACCATAGCATAAGAATTCTTCATGATAAATGCACAAAAACATTCCATTCTCTGAAAAAAAAAGGTATATGTTTTCTTTGTTTTATTTTTCTGGTTTTTTAATTTCACTATTGGTTTTTTTAAATTTTTTTACTAGTTTTTCTTTTACTTTTTTTATTGGTTTTTTTATTTTTTTACTAGTTTTTCTTTTACTTTTTTTGTTCGGTATAGAAGTTCCATTTGCTATGTAGATAGGGTATGGGTTTTTTTTTTCGTTGTATTTTTCTGGTTTGTTTTTGCATTTTTATTTTTATTTTCTTTTAATTTTGCAGCTTCTTTTTTTATTTTTTTTGTTGGGTACAGAAGCTCTATTTTAATCTGTACAAAAAATTGGGTATGGGTTTTTTCTGTTTTATTTTTCCTGGTTTTTCCTTTTAGAGTTTGTTTTCTTTTCTTTTTTTTTGTTTCTTTTTGCCCCCATGGAAGCAGTTTTTTTTCTAGAATACTTTTAACCTCCTAGTTATACTGCAATAACGATTCCAAAAGGGAAAAATCATTAGTTATTTGTTTTTTCAGTAATCCATTTAAAATCCCACTTTGTATTTTGTTTCGTTATTGGATTGGTCGATAGACAATGATCAAGTAGATCTGGAACTGCAAGCTTTGAAAAACTACATTTTTGGTGTTCAATGGAGGCTAAGAGCTACTTCAAAGAGAGGCCCTATTTTGAGTGTGAATCTCTTCATTTTATGCACTTTTTTTATATTATATTGGTCTCTTTTAGCTGCATTTGATCAATGGGATTTGTGTTTCTGAAACTGGGTTTTCTTTTGAATGCTTATTGCTCTTTTATAGTTCTATTATATGATATTTTACTCCTTTCCTTAGATTAAAAGTAAAAGAGGAAAAGGAAAGATGGGTTATGCCTACTTTTTCTATTTGGTACGACTTTCTTTTTTTAATAATATATTTTCAATAAAATTTTCTGAATTACACCATTCATGCTATTATAACTCGTAATTTGTATGTATAGATTACAGTTTGATTATTCATCGAGTTTGCGTTGCCTCGAAAATGTGATTTGTAATGGTACCGCTATAGCAAAATTGAAATTGGTGAAAAGGAGAAAACTTCTTAAGAGAAATGCAGCTAGTGTAGGACACCTAACATCCCTGAAAATTGGAGAATTGAAGTGAAATAGTTAACCTGATGTATATATGGAATTAAGGATGATTTTATTTGCTTGTGATTTTTGGGAATTTTTAATGACACAAATGAAGGAATTTTGGATTCTTAATTGCATGGTGTTGATCCAATGGAACTTGGATGGTTTACTGTTTAATTCTTTTCATCTTTACATCTGCTTACGGCTTTGATAAATTGAGTCAAGACCAATTAGAAAATTGTATCTCACTAACTACAAGGCATTCGCTCCTCCAGGACTTTTTCAAATGGCAGTTTGTGTAGTGAATACATAGTTTCTTTAAACTCCTTTCCTTGCAAGAGAATCTGCTCCAACTTTGACTCACTAAGATTTTTGTCGCACCTTCAAAGGTGTCGATTTGTTTCAATTTTGAGTTCTCTTAATATGAATATAGAGGCAGGTATTATGCAATCATTCTTTGTTAGACCTTTGGAGGTTCATATTTGTTCTAGGTAAATTCTACCTCATAGATGCAGGCTACTCCAATATGCGGCTTCATGACACCATACCGCGCGACTCGTTACCATCTTCAGGACTATCGAGGTGGTAATAATTCGAGGACAAGAGACGAACTATTTAATTATAGACACTCTGTGTAATGTATTTGGTCTATGGAAGGCATGCTTCCCAAACTTACAGAAGCAATTTTTCTATCTGTTTCAACTTTCAAACTCAAGTCAGTTTTGTTATTGCAACGTGTATATTACATAACTATCTCAGCATGACAAGAGCTGTCCTCACTGATGAGGAGTCAAGGTTTGAGAACGTTGCATTAGAACATGCTGATCAAATGGTATATGTGATCATAACTTATCATCAAAGCGAGGATGATGTTGCTACACAGTTACGCATGACGAAAATGCTAATGCAATTTGGGAATGATATCAAAATAGATGTAGTAGTTGTGATGCAAGGTTTCAAAAACGCTAGGCGGCCCCTAGGCGGCCTGCCTGGCGCCTAGGCGAGCGTCCAGAACCTCGAGCGCCCCGTAATTTAAAAAAAAACGAAAAACGCCTAGTCCGCCTGGGCGCCCGCCTAGGTACATCCGCCCGTGTAGTGCCGCCTGAGTCTAGGCGGGCTGATTTTTGGTCCAGGCCGCCTAGGCGCCAAGCGGACCGTTTTTTTAAAACATTGTTGTGATGGTAGTACTTCTTCATTTTTTTACCAATGGATTACCAAACATAAGAAACTGGGTACATAGGAATCCCAGACATTACTAATGGATTACCAAACATAAGAAACCGGGCACATAGGAATCCCAGACATGTGAACCAAACATGTGAACCAAACATGGGAAAAAACAGCATTGGAAATTGTTTTACATATGTAAATTGTTACGCATGAACCAAACAAGCCAGTTTCCTCCCAAATTGTGAAATCTATTACCTGCCCCGGAGCTTAAAAATGTATTACAGGATTGATAAATAATATAAGCCCGACAGACCCGCTGGAAAACATAAAAGACAGCTGAGGTCCTTGCAGAAGTCTCTCTTTCTCTCTCTAAAGTGTCTCTCTAAATTTGAGGACCTGCAACCTTGTTTACTTTATACAGGTGTGCCTCTTCCCTTTCCTTTCTCGAAAACCTAATATTCACTTCATTATTTTCATTTTGTCATCGGGAACCTTACTCATGGCGTTTTACACCTGATTCCTTGTATTTGGACTTGATCTTATTAGCATGGCTTTGGAATCACAACAGAGAAAAAAAAAAACAATTTTTGGGTTTAACGACATGTCAATCAGTGAAACATTC